AGGCAGGACTTTGTTTTGAAACTGAAACCAGTGGTTCATGTTTGCGATGGAGCTTCAACTGCCAAAAAATGGTTTATTGATCAATTATTATAGAAACTATATATAATTTCGGTTCATATGCGTTATTCCCTCCCTTACTAGCCACGCCCCTTTTTGCCGTTCTGCTCTCTTGATTTTTAGAGCTTCTTTCTCTCTCTATAGATATCCCTCAATACATCCTTCTCTATACATCTCTATTCAGCTTACTCTCCATCGGAAACTCCACAAAAAAGTTAAGATACCTCTATTTACAACATTTTATTGAGCAATTTGATATTTTCCAATACAACTTTTAAAAATTCATCATAGCCTTCTCTCCAAATGATGTTACTCATCTGCTTACAATCGTTTGTAATGCTCTCAGTTGCCTCCGTAAAATTCTTGAGCAGATCCCAGTTTTTTACAATCACGTTTAGTGAAGGATGGTCGAGTTGCTGCCCAAACATTGAAGCAGTGTGAATACAACATTCCTGGGGCAGTACCTAAAAACCTCAAAAATTTTTTCGAAAGTATATCTTTAATGCTTACGACAAAATCGATAATGGTCAACTGAAGCTTTTCATCTATCCCATAATTCCCTGAATTGAGGTCACTCAAGTAAAAAATATTTTTGATCAAGTCCAATTGCATTTGATGTGCGGCTGTGAACGGGCATGAGGATCTTTGGGCGCGTGTTTGGAATCCTTCAACTAAAACAAGGTGGGGTAATAAAAAGATTTAAAAAAATCGTGATGCCTTTTTTTGTGGCTATATGCAAAGCTATAGCGGATGTGAAGCTTCCTGGATAGGCACTTGGAATGAAATGCAAGAGACGATAGATAAAAATTTCTCGCTTATCGACGCGTGAATGAGCAGAAGGACGATCCACAAAGGCATGGTTCTTGACAAAGAAAATGTCATCAGCAACGTGAGCGATGAAACCTCCCTTTAGCATAACAGATTAAACCATGCAAAAAGTAGATGTAATTACCTGTGCGCCAGTGCTGGGTTTTGGAGAAAATTTTATCGCAAGAGCTTCATCAGCAAAAAACTTCTTGAAGTAGACTCTCACAGCCTGGAAATTGCAATTATTGACTGACGGAAGTACCGTCAAAAGTACTCACTTTTTGGATGCTTTCTTCAATTCCAATAACATAACAATCAAACATCCCTGATAATTCTTCAAGCTTATCATGGAAAGAGGTATAAGTTACGAAGAAATTACTATCTTCAAGGATAACTAAGATCTTAGACGCATGTTTGGCAAGTCTAGCTTTCACAGGCTCGGCGTTCTTCTTAGCCAGCTTACCGGCAAAATCACAACATACTAACCACATATCAAGCTTATCGTGTTTCTAAAATTCATAAATTGCCATTGAAAAAAATAAATACTCTGATCAACCTACAGAATAGAAATTTGATAACTTACCAACAGAATCGTATCACCATGTTTGACTCCAATTTCTTCTAATGTTCCGAAAAGGAGATCGATCCGTTGCCCGTTGTGAAAAAGTATTTGATCTGATTTATTAATGAAAAATTTTTCTTTTAATTTATGGCGCAAATCAAGAATGGTTGCCTAAAATAAAATTTTTGATTCCATAAGAAGCTAAAACTAACGAACCTGATCATGGAACAGTATTTGCTTGATCTTGTGGGAAAATCCTTCACTATCGCGGAGATCAACAGTTAAAAACATTGATGAAAAATTTAAATGGATAACTCTTTCTGTAAACACTCACTTAGACGCAAATGTAATCGAAAAACGATTTTGGCAGTTTCCCGCCGTATTCAACGTCTCTGCCCTCAGACGCGCCACTCGCATCGCATTTCTTACATTCAAAAGTTGCTCCAAAGTTGCTTCCTATATATAATGACTATTACTGATAATGGTTGTTATTTTCATTTTCATTGTTTTCTTTGTTTCAGATAGAATTCCTGAAGGATTCATAAGTTCAAAGAGCGCAAAGTAACTTTTGAAGAAACTTTGCCAAAAAGTAGTATCGATGCTCCATTCAGTCCAGGTCCTAATACCAATCAACCATTATAATTGCCTGAGAGCCCAATTCAAAACTTTCCAGTACATTATGTTCGCTCATAAGTTCTGGGAAG